TACCTACCTACCTACCTACCTACCTACCTACCTACCCGTCGACCCATCTATCAACCACAGGAGTCTTGACATGTTCAACGTGATGACCTATGACTTCCACGGATCCTGGGACAAGAAGACAGGACACAACAGTCCTCTGTACGCCCACCCTGGCGATACTGGAATACAGGCTAATTACAACATTGTAGGTTGTCTAGCAGCATTGTTTGTCTTGCAAACAAAGTTTATGTTTATCAGATGGGGATGGTTAGAGGGTGTTAATGATAGGATCATGTTCGGCCACCCGTCCAAACCGTAGTTGACACTTCTGACGACATTTGTATGTTCTAGAAATAATAAAATGAACAGTTTCTGCGCATTAAGAAACGCTCATGGTTTTCTTTTTCGCTTTAACAAAATCGATCCCAGATCATTATATGCTAGCGTTTAGTGGCTTAATCACTTATAAAATAAGTCGTATGAAAAGCTAACGGCCGAGTACCTTTCTTCCTGAAAGTACCTTCTACAAAAACCAATCAATACAAATAAAGCAATGTAAAACCAATAATTGCCACAGCAAGGACAGGGCAAACGACACTCCCCCCCCCTCTTTTCCACCTTCACCATAAACAACAACCCAAAACAAAAAAAACCCCACCCTAACTCCCACCAAAAGCAACATTCTCGAACAACGCAACTTCTCAACAAAAGACCCAAACACTTAATTTCAATGGTATTAAGTTTAAAAGAAAACATTCCTCAAATTAGTACGTTTTTCTATCTGACACTCCTGATATCCTCCTTATTCTTTCTCCTAATTAATTTCCCCAGGACTCTGCTATCAAATACTACATTCAACACGGAGCTCCTAAAGAGAAAATAAACGTTGGCTTAGCCACCTATGGTCGTAATTTTATCCTGGCTGACCCCAGCCAAAGTGATGTTAACGACCCCATCAACGGGGCTGGCCTTCCAGGAAGATACAGCGGAGAGGCGGGGTTCAAAGCTTATTACGAGGTGAGTCTATCCTGTTGACTGATTCGGCTGTGTGGCAATTTTTCAGAAGGCAAAGTTTTATTCCGCCTTTTCGGATTTCGAGCAATAGAGTAAGATTCGACTCTCAGATTTCGCCGATAACTATTGTTTTCTGTAATGCTATTCTCTTACTGTTAATTAAGAAATTAAATAAGAAGTTTTTTAAAACTGTCCTGATGCTTTAACTTCGTACTTTAAATTCACAACGCTGTGTGGGTTTTTGAGTTTATACTGAGCGACAGTGGTACTTCCGGAAGACGTGCAGTTGAGCAACTACAACACCCCAAAAAAACATGGCTCGCCCAAACAACTTCGACTGTCGTCACGCGGGGTAGTAAATAAAACTCCGAACATAAAGCATGTGTTTTGTTGATGTTTTTGTACAAAATGATAGTAAAAGCGCAGAAATACAGATTACTACAGTTATCTCGAAAAGCCAAGGTTCAAATCTTTCTTGATTACCCAACTCCTTTAGTTTTGAATAAAATGCCATCTGAAAAATTGCCAGATGTGCTTGGTTTGGTGGCAATTCGTGTGAGATATCCAGAGGACGCCACAAGCAGTAGCCCTATGTCAGATGTAATGTTTCCGTGTTGAGACTTCTCTACAACCGTTACAACCAGTCAATGACTTTCAAAATGTTGGGCCTCTAGCAGCTTTAATAATTAAGTTCTGAGGACGCTTTGGTTAAAATCTCAACATCAGATGAAAATAACATTGTGTTGAGACTTCTCTGCAACCATTAAAATATGTCTTGCTTCAAAGTGCCGATGCCCTTCTCTGTTTACTTTTATCTGCCGCTTATACCCTTTTGGGTGTCGCGGGAAGAAAGCGACGTCTCTCTGCCACCAGCCGGAGAGCTTGGGTCAGGAGGATGCCATGAGTTGTTAATGTTTCCTCGACTCCATCTATCCAGGTCTTTCTCGGTCGCCCTCTAGCCTTGTTACCATTGAATTTTTTTTATGTAGACACGTTGTGCTGGATGGTGTGTTGGTAATCGCATGAGGTGTCAGAACTATTTGATTCTTTGGTGTTGGATGTGATGCGTGACATCATTTGTGCCCACCATTGCTCTCATTATTGAGTTCCTAATTTTGTCTCGCCTGGTCTTGTTTACTGCTTTTCTAAGACATGGCATTTCACATGTTTTGCTCCAATGTCTTGTTTGAGGTCCATGTCTGGCATTGATAGGTGAGTGTTGGGATGAATATGATGTTGATCATTTTGAGTTTTGTTGTCAAGGGGATGTTAGGATGTTTCAGTAGTGGAGTAAGCTGGTAACTAACATTATTGACCTTTTGTACTCGTGTTTCAATTTCTCTGTTCAGTCGCCCCTCCTGGTCCTTCTCTGTACTCATACAAATAACTATTTTTATAACCGAAAACTGTTTTCTGTTAATTTATGTTAGGGAAGAGTGAGTATGCTAGGCTGCGGACAAAGACTGCCCTCACAGATCTCCATTTTCTTTCGGTAACAACTAAAATCTAAGCTGTTTTGGTGTGTCCATTATCATTTTTTGAAATATAATTTTGCTCATTGATCGAAAATATTTTACCAATAGTCTCTACTCTCCCCCCCCCCCCCCTCTCTCTCTCTCTCTCTCTCTCTCTCTCTCTCTCTCTCTCTCTCTCTCTCGGTTTTTTCCCTTTCCTTCTCAGCATATCGCCATCGCTCGCACCTTCCTTCCTAATTTATTTCTTTCCCTGAATGACTTCTTTATCCACAATGTACTGGGTGATCCAACCCCCCCCCCAAAAAAAAAAAAAAACAACAACAACAACAACCGTAAAACATTTTTTGTTAATATTTTCCTCCGCACTGGAGTTTTGTATTTCAAATTTATACACAACATTTGGAAGTCAAAAGGAATTTGTCTGATATTCATTTTAGATAAATCCGCTAAATAGTTTTTCTGTACATATCGCGTAAAAAACAACCCATTTTCAGCTCTGTCCCCATTTTTGTAGCAAGACGCACCAGTTCGCATTAGGCCTACCACTAAAAATCACAACGATTGCGCCATATTGCAAACTACAGTAGTCTAACAGGCCAACAGAAGCTTGCAGATAGTTTTTCTTAAGTTTCCTTTGCCTGCTGAGATCATCGTTAAGATTGATAAAGAGCAGAGAGTTTTTTAATTGAACTTTTCCTCACTACCAACTCATTTCGTAAGTTTCGCACAAGGTACAGAAAAAAAATGGTAAACTGCCCTTAAGGCCTTATTTGATGCCAAGGGTGAAAATGGTCCATCAGTTAGGACCTGTAGAGAATCAGAACTGAAAATTCCCAGACAAAGCGACCGCTTCAGGTCAAACACACAGTTCGCTCCCCTTTAAACGTCACCAGGGTGCAGTATTCAGTAGATGAGCCCCATGAGATGTCTGTCCGTAGACGATGTCTGCAGCAATGACTGTCCTAATTCCCAACGGTCCGCATTCTCAAGGCAGATCTTCATCTACTTCTGTACCATTTTTCTGTTCGCGAAGCTATCATAGAAGAGCAATGTGTTCTTGATTCCTCAATCGTCTTGAAAAACGTGAACATTTCCTTTATGACATTTGGTTTCTAGGCAAACCCCATATTCACCTTTAAGGTTATATCAACTTCACAAATGCTGTCTATTTGGGCATCCTCACCCACCCCCCTTTTTTTTGTCTCTAGAAACAGCTCCATACTGTAAGGTGTACATTGTGTATGGCTTTGAGTACTCATGGTTGAGTGGGTCCTTGTGTTTGGCCACCGCTGAACGTTACAGACGACGCGTTAAAATGTGTAGAGTCCAAAGGAGGACATATTATAGACCATTGATTCTCGGATTTCCAGAATTAAAAAAAAAAATTTTTTACTCTAGGAGAAAATATTGTCTAAAGGTTGCAGGGATGGAAAGATCAGAGTTAGAAAATTAAAGGAAACGAAAAGAAAAGCCAATCATTACATGACATTCCTTACAAGATCTTTAGATTGGTGCATTTTGCATTTATAGGTGTTTTTTTAAATAAAAGCCATTTCCGGTTTCGAAAATAAGTTTTTTTCTTGGTGAATTTTATGTTAAACAAATTCCTTTTAAATGAATTATATCTCTTCCAAATTACAACATTCTAGTACACATTTTGTGCGAGATATTCAGAAAAAAAGTTGTGCAGGGTTGGGGGGTTTTTTGGATCATCCTGTGTTTCGTAACTCTTCCTGGATGGTCAAAAAATTCGAACGTTTCTTTCATTATTATTTTTCTTTCACCTTTATGTTATGGACAGATTTGCGACGAGTTGAAGTCTGGAGGCGTCGTGAAGACGATCAAAGAGCAACAAGTGCCGTACATGGTCAAGGGAAACGAGTGGATTGGCTTTGACAACGAAGAGAGCCTGAGAAACAAGGTAAGAGAGC